CTCAAGTACCCCTGCCATCCGATCAGAAACATTAGTCCCTGCGGGTGCTGTTCAGCCTGAGTATACAGTAGGCTCTAGTCGGCGGAAGAAAGGCCACAGGCGAAAAATTGTCGAGCTTTCACTCAATGATTTTTCCCTCACCAACGCAGCTGACCGCGCTGAGACCATCAGCCCTGCTTTCCAGCAAGTCGTTACCGGAGATCTAGCCACAAGCCCAGCATCTATGGCAGAGCAACCTCTAAGCTCATCTAGATTACACGAACCGGAGGCACAACTAGCAACAACTGCTACTACCGTCCCTAGACCCAAGGAATCACAAAAGAGTCCCGGCTTTGATCCCACCAAGAGTTCCAATCTACTCCCTGCCATTCAAGGCTTTGACTGGAGCGCTAACGGGGACTCCTATCGTCAGCGGCTCGAAGCCTTGAAGCAAGAAGTCGGAACCAACTGGCTAACCGTGCTAGGCGATGGACCATGGGACGATGCGCAAAAGGATATTGTCGTCCACGCAGGAGGTAGTTCGGAATACGCTTCAGCGGGACCACTTCGGCCCGCTCTCATCCCGAGGAGCAGCAGCCAGGTCATTGCCACTGGAGGTCGGACATTAGGCTAAATGCCTAACAACGAATCACGATTTCTTTAACCCGTCAAAGTGTCTCCTTCTCTTTCCTCCATATATACCCAACTGGAGAGCGCGGTACAAAATCCCCTAATAAAACGAAAACAGCTCGAAACAATCCTTTTGAGGAAGAAAGACTGTAAAGGGAGCTGTGAGGTATAGATTGTATTTTGCAATCCCGGAATATATTGCAAAAAATGGCGGCAGAGTTTTGTCAATCCCAAATAAAGGTTAGGAAACCAAGAAGGAGATAAAGAGAAATGTTGCGAGAGGAGTTTCCAAACATGATGATCATTTCTACTCTTGTGGTTTCTTAACGACATGGTTTCTACTTTTTTATTTCTTTTCTTGATGGGATATATGTCTGCATGTCAACTTTTTTTCTTCTTTCTGGAATATACCATTTTTGTTTTGTCTGTATGATCCTGCATTTGGATGGCGCCATCTGATTCCCGGTTCGGTTCTTGTCACTTTTTTTTCCCTCTTTATTTATTTTTGCGCTGTTACGCTATCCTTACGTGTTTCCACCCGCTTCTTGCGGGGTCGGTTCTGCATTCTGAGACGTATAGGAGAGATATTTTATTCCCTTTCTTTTAGACCACTTTTTCTTGTACTTTATGGAGAGGCGGTTGTGCGCTTTGTTTGATTTTTACCTCTATTTCCCCCCCCCCACCCAAAGCTTTTTTGTATTTTGACGTTTCCATAGCGAGTTTATTCCCCTCTACTCTTCCAGGATTATTCTGTTTCGTTCTTATGTAATTTCAGAAGCACAAACGAGGTGTATAATTTCCAGGCGGATGTGGATTTTGCTGTTGATTGTGAGTGTAGCAGGATACATTATTTTACAGACGATTTGCTTGTCTTCGTTGCTTTGCTTTCCGTAAGAAGACGATGCTTCTTCCTACGATGATTCAACACAACCTATCACCCACCGTACGTTAATAGATGTAGTTCAGGCGTTAGGGCTCAGGTGTCACACTCCCTGGTACAGGGTCCCCTCCTTCCAATTGCCCACCACGCTTCTCTCTTATCTGATTCCCACTTCAATGCCACATAGCATATATCACCACACCATTGGCCGCGTAATAACTCTCTCTGACTAGTTACGTGGGTTTATCCGCCAGTAAAACCGAAACAATCCCACCAGCGCCAAGTCTTCTAATCGCGGGAACCATAGGTTGCTTGCGCTTTTCCTTCTTGCATGCATTGCATGACATGGTATGGATATGAAGCATTAGAGTGATGGGAGCTGGCATTGCATACATGATATGACATATAAAGCGCTATCTCTTTCTTTGCTCTGCTGGTGATTTTTGGGGAGCAGGGTCTGAATATGGATAACTAGGTTAGCTGGAGGAGTTGGGAAGCGCGTTTCCTTCGTTAACTCTTCATTCAGCTTTATCCCTTCTCTCCCGCCACTGCCTCTGATTGGTTGTTGATTTGAGAGTTGGGGAGGGAACATTAAGGGCATCATATGTTCATGTAATCTATCCTTATGGCCGAATTTCTGTACTGTACACAAAAATCCACTTAAGCCTAGTTTTGGCAGGAAAAGATAGCATGGCATGGCTGGCGTGGCTGGAAGAGGAGGGGAAAGCTTCCCTGGTCCCATTGAGCCTATGGCATCCCAAACATCAAGGATAGAATCGAGAACGGAAATGGAAGGGCGGGATTCCGACTTCATACAGGGAGCAAAAGTGGAATATTAACACTCTCCTAGCCGTTTATAGATTCGCTGTATTGTGGAGGACATTTATACTAGCTACCCCTTTTCCCATATCTCTGCTGCAATGCCCCTATATCCTCTCTGGTTTGGGAATAGAGTACCCGAACCGTCGTGTTTTGTTGTTCTATTAACAAGGGCCTCAAGCCTCTGTTCAGGTTTGGGTATATGCATAAAGAGGCATATTTGCATATTTTGGCCCATCTCGTGTTCAACAGTAGTTCGAGGATAGATTTATCTGCTCCTCGATCCTTCCCCTGTCTACGGAGTACCTTACTCCCAGATTATATATGAATGGTAGCAAAAGCGATGATGCCAAGTTCGGGGTGGAGGGAATCACAGTGTTTAAAATACGTATATCAGGATCATATCTTTGAAGAGATATATATATATATATATATATATATTTGGATTTCTCCGGACTCCCACTTGTGAATCATTGGGATGGAGAACAGGGATCTAAAAGCCTGTTGATTACCGACAGTCGTCTGTCCTTGTGAGTCCATGTCCAAGTCAACATTGGCAGTTACTGGGTTTAGAACTCGTCGATATTTTGCATATATCCCCTGTGTGATTCATGAACCCCGCTGTTTCTGGAAGACTGAGTCCAATGTGCGAGCGGAGTTCTGAAGCGGACAGGACCGAGAAATATACCAGTGACAAACCCCCATGGGCTGGAGATAAGCACTAGCTACCCGAGCTTTCCTATTCGCACGGAATAGCAATGCTCCGAGATGTTCGGGGCCATATAACGTTCAATACTAAACCTTCCCCGCCTGTGGAAATGGCGGGAATTCCGGTGCAGGTAGAGGGGGGTTTTGAAAGGAGAACGAACGAACACAAAATTGCATATCGGAGAAGTACCTGGAGTCGAAGTCAGGTACATCTCTTTCATAGCGTCAAAGGGTTTCTTCCCGCTTTAACAAATAAGACGGTGTGGTCGAGTGGTAAGACGTCACGTTGTGGCCGTGCCAGCCTGGGTTCGATTCCCAGCACCGTCAAAAGCGAGATGAATTTTTAGCATTTCCCTGCACCTTTTCTTTGTATTTTTTGGCTTGTTTGGCAAACTAGTCAGTTGTCATAGCTCCAGAGAAGGAATTTTCAAGGATGTATCACTGTATCACCCGGATTTTCCCACCGTCAACCGGGATGTTGTTGATTGAACCCATGGATTCTTAGGGTGATGGAAATCATGACATCGATATAGCAATATTGGCCAGTAACAAGCACCGGAATCGTTTGGCACGGAATTCCAAGTTTCATCATCCTTTCTATCTGTTTGGTATTGCGTGTCCCTGTGTGTGTGTGTGTCTGTCTGTGTGAATAGCAACTGCCTGTGCGCGGTAGGTAACCAGGACACGCAACTATAATTTCACCTGTTGTTAAGTAATTGTCAGCAAACAGCTGTCCGCAGACTGGCAAGAGAATGAATGGGTCAAGAAATTAGAAGAATTGGTCTCTCGAGAATTAGCATTTGTTTGGGAAATCTCAAATGTATTATTCTCTGGTCGTTTAACCTGGTTGTGTGCCCTTAGTACGTAAGGCAATCTACAGACTGCTAATGAACTGCCCAGTTGTATGCGGTTTAGAGCCAAAACCTCGACTCGGGCCAAAGTCCACCTAGTCTCCACCCAGAAAATTACTCCATGCCCCTACGCTCTTCAAAGTTTCAACTCTCACCTCTCACCACCATCTCACCTCCAACCTTCTTCTCCCCTCTCTGCCTGCCAACCACTACAAATACTCCCAAAGTCTGTGATTCTTCGATCTGCTATTCTTCCCATCTGAAAATTTGCTCTGTTATCTGCTATTAAGAAATAGACCGTGTCTCTACTCTCCACCAGCTCCCCGACAAACGCACTATTGCATCCCGATTGCTCAGCAACAATATCTTCTCCCTCCACTGGCCACCAGACCCAACTTTGATGGGAAAAATCACTTCGACCTTCACAGCTATAAATTTCACAATACCCAAAAGTCTTTCATCTCATCGCGTCGCAACGTTGTTGAATTGGCACGATCTTGTCACTTGTTGTTATTTACCGCAAGGCCTGGATCCCGCCCAGCAAAAACCCAAGAGCCTCACTTAGTTGCCTGCCTGACAAAACCTCTCAGCACCCAAACCCTCTCCCACCCAACAACACCACTTTCACTGTAGCCACACCATCCCCTCCGCCATCGCAGGACAACTACCTGGCCATTACAACTTCTGCGAGAGGAGCCTGGATTGGAGGCACGTTTGGTTCAGCCCTTCGTGGCGTTTTTTTTTTTTTATCACCTTCACCGTGTCATTATTTAGGCGTTCCCACTCTGCTGTAAGCCACTTTCCCTCTCCTCCCAACTCCCACGTTGTCTATGATGCCACCACAAACCCCCCATCCATCACTCCGGCGCGTCTCGTTAAGCAACTCCACGCCACATCAACATGAATGTCCAGTCAAAGGCTTACCATGACACTAACCCTCCCCAAGGTATCTAGGATTGCGTGAAGTCTTTCAATAAATCCCACCCCTCCAAAAACCCGATCTCCCTTCTTCCCCCCCTCCGCCCTCCGCCGCGACCCTTTTTTTTTCGCATTTTTTCTTGTCGTTTCTTTTTTTATTCCTCTGTTCGTTCGTTTCTTCTTTCGGATAATTTTCTTGCCAGTGGAGGCAAGACATGGCTGACCAGAATGAAATCGATCTCGATTCCATCATCGACCGGCTGTTGGAGGTGAGGGGTAGCCGACCAGGAAAGCAAGTTCAATTGCTCGAGTCTGAAATTCGCCATCTCTGCACCAAGGCCAGAGAGATTTTCATATCTCAGCCTATACTGCTGGAACTTGAGGCCCCAATCAAGGTTGGTTTCCCGACTTTTATTGCTTTCTTTTGTTTTCGTTCTCGTCGACAAAATTTAGCGCTCTGGCCGTGCTGGCCCCAGCCACGCAATCATTGGTTATTTCAGACACTTCTATCGCACTCAAGAATACTACAGCACATATGGCTAATACCCATAACACTACCTGGTAATTAGATATGCGGCGATATCCACGGACAATATTACGATCTCCTGCGTTTATTCGAGTACGGCGGGTTTCCTCCCGAGGCTAACTACCTCTTCCTTGGAGACTACGTAGATAGAGGTAAACAATCACTCGAGACCATCTGTCTGCTATTGGCGTACAAGATCAAGTATCCAGAGAATTTTTTCATCCTCCGCGGAAACCATGAGTGTGCGTCTATCAACCGTATTTATGGTTTCTATGACGAGTGCAAACGGAGATACAACATCAAGCTGTGGAAGACCTTCACGGACTGCTTCAACTGTTTGCCAATCGCAGCCATCATAGACGAGAAAATCTTCACCATGCACGGCGGCCTCAGCCCTGATTTGAACTCCATGGAACAAATCCGTCGTGTAATGCGTCCTACTGATGTAAGTAATTTTCTCTTTTCCTCCCCCGTCTACCCCGCTAAATTTTTTAACATTTATACATCATGGGGCGTTTTGCAAAACAACAATCTCCGAGCTCCGTGAGGCTCAGTATCCGCTGACCCATATAGATTCCCGATTGCGGTCTTCTCTGTGATCTCTTGTGGTCTGATCCGGATAAGGATATAACTGGCTGGAGCGAAAACGATCGGGGCGTGTCGTTCACGTTTGGTCCGGACGTTGTTTCACGATTCCTACAAAAGCACGATATGGACCTTATATGTCGTGCACATCAGGTTGTTGAGGATGGTTATGAATTTTTCTCGAAGCGACAGCTAGTCACACTCTTTAGCGCGCCCAACTATTGTGGAGAATTTGACAATGCTGGAGCTATGATGAGTGTTGACGAGAGTCTGCTATGTTCATTTCAGGTAAGAAGGAGCAGTCCTATTTTGTGGTTCTATTACCAGTGCCAAAGAGCAGTTAAACCAAATGCAAGTAATAAAAACTGACGCGCAACTTTTTCCATCCCACAGATTTTGAAACCAGCCGAAAAGAAACAAAAGTACGTCTACGGTGGCATGAGCAGTGGCAGACCCATTACTCCTCCTAGGAAGCAAAAGAAGAAGTGAAGAGAAATCATACGAGCTTTTCCATTTGTAGCAGGTTCGGGCGGCGATAAAACTCTAGTCAATCATTACCATCATATCCACAACCCCGATATTCACGCACACACGAGCGAGGGAGAGAAAGATAGATAGGGAGAAAATGGGAAGGGATCTCCACGACACACGACCAGCCAAACTTCTCAACACACAACCATACACCATAGCAATCTTCGCCAGCATACGTACGCCAATTTTTACATCCATCCATTACCTCGTTAACCCCAATTAATCAACTCCCACCGGCCCCCCTCCCCCCAACACACGGAACGAGGACTCGAATGCAGCCCGCGGTTTTGTCCCTGTTGTGTACATCCCTGATGGCTTTTCGAGCAATACGCCCCTCGACTTCACACAACTCGAATTTTCTTTAGGTTTTATTTATTTATTCATTATTTATTTGCCGTCCCCTTCTTTTCGCTTTTGTTATGCTTTCTATCGCATACATCTGACAAATGATCAACCCCTCCTGTGTCGAAAGAACTTATCTTGTTCTGGTGCTCCCTTTCCATTTTTTGTTTTCATGTTTCTCGTGCTTCTCCTTTCTACCAACTAACGGAAAGGAAGGGGCTCTATTTGGTTGTGTCTTTCGCTCTGGTCTCCTTTAATTTCTCTTCACTTCCAATCTCTGCTCAGAACCAACAAGGGTATGTGTGTGCCTGTGTGTTATTTCTCCCAAATTCCTCTCTATCCCTTTTCCCCCAAACACGGCGCGCTCTTTTATTGGAAGTTATTTGTCAAGCCGAAAACAATGAACGAACGAACGAATAAACTGGTTGATATATCGTTTTCTTCTACTTACTTTCCTCCCCTTTCCTTATTACACTTGTTTTCTTGCTCTTAGTCCCTTTTTTTGTCACTTCTTTGTTTTCCTTTCTTTACTTGTCTTGTTCTACTGTGTTCTTTTTCTTCCCTTTTTTAACAGATGCGATTTTTTTGCCTTCTTTTGCTTAAAAGGTCTGTACTGTATCTCATTCGTACCGAAATGCGTGACAGAAAACTTATTTTAAACCGCTTCGGACTCCTTTTCTAACCGTTGGGCTTTTTTATATCCGAGATGAGGGGAGTAGACTTTTGTCACGGGACTGCTGGAGGTTCCGAGAAAAGGCGGAGAAGGGGTAACAGAGCAGCACGGCCGCTTGCTACGCCGGGCAGGACAGGATGGAGGCTGTCAAAAGTCATGTGGGGAATGTCGCCATCATCGTTATAGCTCGGTAGCAAACAGACGAGGGGAACGAATTCTTATTTTTGATAAGGTTTGTAATTCAGGAGAAAAAGAGGCGGAAAATAATCTAGACCAGCCCAGCTGATTCGAGTCGTAAAAAATCGTTCTGGTTTTGGTTATCTGATTTGTAGTAGCCTATCTATTTTAACGTTTTATATTTTTAACTGCCTTAGTGGGGTATTTTAAAAGTTGGTAGCTTCTTTTCCTCCCTTGGCTGATTATTGATTGTTTTGATCAGCTTTCGAGGCGGTTTTCTATACCGGTTCCTACCTAGGCAACCTAGACACGGCGGGAAGAGGTGTGATTTTTCGAAACGTACGTTACTTGCAGGAAAAGAAGGGGCTTTGGCTAAGCTGTCCTATGAATCGCCATGATGAAGCATTAAGATGTCTACTACACATCTTTTCATTCTGACTATTTCATGGAATGTATCTACCAGTTGTACTTGGGGGGAGTGGAGTGGAGTGGAGCGGAGCGGAGCGGAGCTGTGGAGGAGGGCAGGGGCCGCAAGATATGGGAGTTAAGTTATGCGGACAGATGGAGTACATCTTGCAGGAATACAAAAAGCTGCAACAGTTAAAAATAGTAATTACCAGCAAGTCTCTATCAGAGTCATAATGGCCCTGTTAGTGAGGCGCTGAAAAACTAGTTTTAAGAAATATTCCAATTTAATACATACCTGTGTACGGATCCCAAACAAAAAAAAGAAAAGAAAAGAAAAAGGGAAAAAGAAAGACCGAAGTCACCAAATAGCCACTCATGCGCTTAGTTTTTGTTCCCCTTTATTGCTTGTGTATTCTTCAAAAGAGGAAAAGTTACGTTCTTTTGTCCAAGGTATGTCGGATAGGTAGCTAAGTAGGGTTGAGCAGGCTATGTCAAAAATTACATTAGAATCTAGAGGCCGGGGGCAGCAGGAAATGAGTGCTGAAGCGAAAATGGCAGACGCGCTGAGATGACAAGAATAAACACTGCATGAAAACTTGGGAACAATTAATCTGAAGAAAAATAGGGTGTAAGGAGTACTCTTTATTTGACTGGTGATTAATTTGATGGGAACAGAGAACAGAACAACTTGCGCATGAGATGTGAAGCTCTTTTTGAAGAGGGTGAACGAATAAAACTTGTTGGGACGGTATGACGTCGTGAACTTGTTTAATGTGGAAGAGGGGGAAGGGTCGTGAGTCCTTGCAAAACGAGGGGGAAGAATGCATCTTGGAGAGATTTCTGTTCTGACGCCTAAGAATAAACATAAAGCAGAGTGAGGGGTGAAGAAGAGAGTGGAGCTGAAAAATGCATTGATATGGATTGCCTAGGAATTTCCGGAACTATCAATTTCCACATGAGAGGGCTTAGGATGCGACGGGTGAGGGCAAACTAGTCCTCTTCTAAAAATTTTGGACTTTATGGGTGTTTGAAGAGCGAAATAACGGACATGATTGATAATTGATATAGTGATACGTTTGGGGGGTGTTCTTAGACATATTGGGACATCCATCTGATACCTTCACCATAGCCTGCAGGAAATAAATTAGTAAATGAATAAATGCTATATGACGGGGAAATAGAGGTTTTGTTTCTCTCTTAACCTACCCTGTCGCATAACCACACTACACATGAACAATTCGATTGGCCGGATGCCCTCCAAGGGTACCTTGCCCTTGCCCGTAGTCTGGTAAAGACCCATTTGGTGCCGGAGCTCATCTTCAGGCACAGCGTCTGGGTGGTCAATCTTGTTTCCAAGGACGAGAAATGGGACTTTGGAGAGCTCCTCCATAGCCAAGAGCGCGTCAAGTTCAGCTTTGGCCTCGGGGAAACGTTCGGGATCCTTGGCGTCGATGAGAAAGACGATGCCGCTCACTTCGGGGAAATAATCTTTCCAGAGACGGCGGGCTGTTGGGGATTTGAGAGGTTAGAGAGCTTTGTATTGAGTTGCGTATGTAGTTATTGTGAGATAGCTCACCTTGCATATGGCCACCCAGATCGAATGTTGTGAATCTGTTGTTGCCGATGGCTAGTTCTTCGGATGTTGGATGTGCTGTTGGTTGCAGAATGGCGACCCGGTCATTCTATGATAAGTTCGCGCAACAAACGGGCATTAGCCAAATGCAATTAATTCCTCACAACAACGTAAACATCTCCAGATAACAGGTCCAGCATAAAGCATCCTCCTCCCTTATAAGGCCAGTATACAAAAGCCAGCTGAGCCTCTGCGATCGCATCGTCACCAAAATCGCCTCCCACACTAAAACCAAAACCAAAACCAGCCACCCAGCCAGCGAGAACGACGCGAAACAGCAACATCAGTCATAGACAAAATTGAAAACGATAACGACAAACCCCCCAGCTCACCTTCAGCATATGCAGCAGTGTAGTTTTTCCCGCATTGTCCAGACCAAGGAAGAGGAGCTTGGCATGCTTGTTCAGCAGCCCGAGGGAGGCGAGGATATCATAGACTATAAAAATAACATGCATCATCAGCTTCTCAAGCATCCACGCTGATAATAAACAAAAATGTCACCCCCAGCGCACTCCATCATTCTTGGTTTACTTTTCCCCCTTGCTCTCCTTCAGCCATATAATGGGAGAAACTGCGGCTGGTCGTCTTCGGGCGCAACATGTACCACCAGTATATATATGCTAGGGGGGAAACAGATTCAAAACACATACACCAGTTGATAATCCACATTATGCAGGACGAAAATAAACCGTGAGAGAGAAGCTGAGGGCAAGACGAGGGGAGGAGAGGGAGAAGCTATCAAAGATCCAGGGCGAGGTCGGTTCGAACCGAATCCGAATCCGAGGGTCGTTCTAAGCTGAAGTTGAAGTTGTTGCTATGGGGAGCTTCCTGCAGAGAGCCTGGCGGACGGATGTGTGGCGGATCAACGTGGAAGAACGCACACTTTGGGGAACTGGACAGGACGTGTCTGCCTGTGTGGAGAGATAGAGAGACAGATAAGAAATCTCCAGATTTCCTTCGCTTTTATGTGTTATGTTTTATGTTTTTTTTTTTTTTTTATATATATTTATATATATATCTTCTTGGTGTTTTATTTGCGATATCTTTTCTGCGTCTTCTCTTCGGGGTCAAGGGCCACAATCAGCAGCAAGCAGTTGATTAATCCAACAAGTGTCCTTCTGCTGACTAACCCGGCTCGTGATTCAATCGAAGCTGCCAAGCCAAGTCAAGAGACTCGCTTGGATTACTTGTTTGGGCCTGGTGTGCTATGAGGCAGGCCGGAGAATCCTGGCTCCTGATATCATAGATCTTTACACAGAGTTCAACCGTCAGAGGATCCTCTGACCGTTGGAAATATCGATGGGGGGAAAGATTTACATTTTGCCTTGTTGTTGGGCACACAGTTTCCATTTGGTTTTTGTATTTAAAAAGGGTGCAGGGATATCCATACGAAACAGCAAAACATCCGGGGCATCCCCATATCTACCAACGAAAAACAAAAACGAGCGCCTTTCAGAGGAATCGTGGGTTGGGTGTCTGACCCCTTTTCGTTTCGCTTCTCCTTGGACTATAGAGAGCCTCTGCGGATAAGCACCCGGGTCGATCAAAGGCACAGCAGAGACAATGCAAAAACAGATAGAAAGCAGGTCATGGTCTCGTTACGCAAGAGCAACAGCAACACGCAGCCACAGCAAGAGGGCGGTTGTATAAACTAAAAACGAAAACAGACAGCCACGAGAAATGCACGAGTACAAACCCTTCCCAGTCTAATAATGATAGAAAGGTAATAAAGGATCAAATATCCCAGACAGAGCGGAAACACGATAGGGGGAATCATCATCATATCATGTTCGAAGAATAAGCAAGTTGAAGAGTTTGATCAATCGTGCTCATTAAAAAATCTGTACGGAACTTAAGGGATATAGAGAAGGAAAAGGTCAACGGTATAAAACTAAACCAAGTAAACGTGTTAAAAGGTATATACAGAAATAACATGTGTAAGAAATAAGTTTCAATCAAGTCTTCAAAGAATATCCAACTCTAGCAGCAATATGTTCGTGAAAATGGATGTGGAAGAAAAAAAACTTCATCATGAACTGAAAGACGATGACGATATCTGCATATGTGAATTATATCGAAAGAACAAGTTGTTGGGCACCCTGAGCAACGCCGTATGCCCTGAAACGTTCCGCAACTTCAAGTCCAAGTTCTTTCATTCGTTCAGCCCCCTTTCCAGGAAGAGGTTTGCGCTCAAGATTTTCTTTGGCAGCTTTCCGGCAATGCTGGCGCCAAAACTTCTCCTTTCGCTTCTGGCGCTTCTTTTCCAGTCCCTCCACGATGTCGATGGGTCCACGTGTGTGCATGTCACGACTGTTGGGTTCACCGCTTTGGCTCGCAGAGGGCAAGGTGGCTTTTGAAGACCGACGACGATCCATGCGAGCGAAGAAAGGATTTGGAGTGCGAGGAAGAGACCTGGAATGGCGTCGATGTGGCCTCTGCGCGAGACCGCTGATGTTGATACCAATGGGGTGGTGGAGAGCTGCTGTGGCGAGAGAAGCGCGGCGAGTTGGGGGTGGGGATCTTAATCTCATTGCTTGAGGCGGGGATCGCATACATCGAGGAGAATGCCCAAGAACGCGGCGTGGCGGAGGTGACTGGTGACGTTTTGGAGAGTAACTTGGAGATGTTTTACGGCTGCCTGCTTTTTGTCTTCCGTGAAGCCCATCCGAATCATACGCTCTCAACCTTTCCGTAATGTCATCTTGATTATCATTTTGGTCGTCATCGTCGCCATCTTCATCTTCGGGATCTGTTGTGGGAAAGCTTGGGTCGATGTCCTGAGGAATGGGGATATGTTTTGCCCGGCGACGTTCCTCTAAGCAAGAGAGATACGCCGCTTCCAGGGGACGGTCTTCATCAAAAGTTCCACAAACGAAATCTGTGCTGTCGGGCAAGTTTGGTGTGCTGGAACGACGAAGTTTCTGGGACTTAATTGACTGGTGGCGCTTGTGGCAAGGCTTGAGAGCTGGGGGTGGCATTGATTGTTGGTTGTCCCGTCGCACCTTCGATGACTCGATTGAAGTGTTTGAACTTCGTCGCTCAAAATGTTGGACGACGTCACAATGATCGACACTTGTAGCCGCAGTCACCATTTTCAGGGACCAGAATTCGTCCTCTGACTCGTTGCCACTTTCATCCGAGTCCGCAAAGCCAGCTTCGTTATCAGTCTCATTGCCGGCGTCGGAAGCAACATCATAAACCGTGGAATCATCTGCGTCCTCATCCTCATCTTCGTCTTCGTCTTCGTCCTCATCATATCCTTCATCTTCATCGTCATCCTCATCGTCAGCGCCATCTTCGTCTTCTGCATCGTCTTCTGTGCCCTCCTCATCCTGTCTGGCTTCCTCCTCCACCTCCTCGCCAAGCTTCATGATAGCAATCTCTTTCTTCATGCAATCGTTCATGGTCATTTTCTCCTTGTAGTCTGTCACTTGCTTCACCCAATCATCGTCTTCCAAAGAACTCCCGAATTCGTGAAATCGAGTGGCTTCAGAGTGCTCAAATTCACCGAGGCCAGCAACATGGGGAGCAGCTCTGGATTCATTCTTTGAAAGATGTTCATGATCAATTTCGTTCTGTCGTGTTGAAGAGTCTGAACTGCACCTGCGTAGAGCAAGAGTGGAAACGCCACGACGTCTAGCTGATATAGAGCTTCTGCAAACGATGGAATGGTCCACTTTAGTATCATTGTCGTCAATTGGTCGCGAATGACAAGCGAAGGTTAGCATCGATTTTCGTTTAGGAGGATCGTTCACCTCCTTCACCGGTTCACTCGAAGCTTTCTCTTCGCTATCAAGGTTTCGCCCACACGCGAAGGTTATGCAGCGTTTCCGTCCAAGATTGGCTTCAATTTTTGACTCCTGCTCACTAACAATAGGACCAATGGGAACTTTGTATTCCATTCCATTATTGGCTGTGGTTGGCGCAGCAGCAAAACCAGACGGCAACGGTGGGCTTGGAGTATGAGACCAAGCTGGGCTTTTAGTCTCTTCATCGCTGGTTAATTCTGCAGTTGAAGGGCCGCTGACGTTGCTATAAACTGAAGACGTATAATTTCGCTGGAAACCACTAAAATGGGAAGTTTGGTTTGGCTGGTCGACAGGTGAGGATTCGGGACTGCTCATTAAGGCTCTGGTGAGCAAAGACTTCTTTCCTTCCATTCGAGCGGGTATTGCCTTAGCATATGGTTGGAAGGCAATGCTATTCAAATCCAAGACTGCTCCACCCTTCCGATCATCTGGTGGTTCGTCTGCCTCAGCAGAAATCTCATCACCGTCGCTCGTCTGAGCACCTGGAGTGTTGGATAACCGGAACATCTTGGATAAAGCATTCATGGCTGATTACCAACGCGTCCTGTAGAACAGATGCCGAGGAATCGATCAAGATCGTAATTGAGGAACAAAAGAAGAAAACCAACGTGAGAATTTAGGGTGGATGGCAATGAGAAAGAGAAATAAAATCGAAAGGGCCTCCCAAATGCAAATAGGGAAAAGGGTTATTGGTCGATACAGGGCCACACGAATAGTTATGGAATTAACCGGGCAGTGTCAAGTGTATGGTTATGTGACCTTTGGGGTGTACTTATGTTGTTCTCGAAGAGCATAGGAATGCCCGCCAGCAAAGCTATTGTCATAAGAGATAGATCGCCATCGTGAGAGAACGAGAAAGAGGCCGGTATTTGTCGACGACTATATAGGACGACTGGAAGGGAGGAGAAAATGATGAGCAACACCCCAAGGCTGAGGGCTGTCACCGCCAAGACAGCGGAGCAAGGAGCAAAGAGGGTAGTTTTTCCAATGAATAATAATGATAGTAATGCAAGGCTCGTACCGCCAAAACAGCTGGCACTCTGAGGTTCGGTTTGTGGAGGAAGGTTGTCTGGCTGGGCGGTCAAAGGGGACAGGAGGCGGCAGAACCGCCAAGTCAGCCCACTGTTGCCACCAGCAGAGCGCGGTAGAACAACCAAATTTTGCTGCTGTGCTGGCTTGGAACACTGCGCGGACACGACTCACCAACAAGCCTGATGAGGCCGTGAAACACAGGGCTCAAATGAAAAGCAGAAGACGGGTAACAGAATTGCAGGTAAAACGAAGTCTGATGAGGGCTGTATTCGGAGGTGTAACGCATAGAAGAGGTGAGAGAAGAGATTTAATGATAGAAAAGAGAAGAAAAAAGAGGGCGAGTAGGCAGTTCTTGAAGGCAGGAAGGGGTGGGGTGACTAAGCCGAACCCTGAGCCCTGAGCCCTGAGCCCTGAGCCCTGACTCGGTGCTGTTTTGGGCAAAGGTTGGCCCATTGGGGACTTCCTCTGTTTGGCTTGGAATTTTGGGCAGGTGAGCGCTGTGCATCAGGGCTCAACTTGGTACGGTACGGTACATACACACACACACACACACACACACACACACACACACACACAGCTACTAATACTGCTACTTGCATTATTATACAGTATTACCCGATACCGGAGTTACACTGAGGATGACAAAGACATGGACAAACCCGCCACAACCACAACCGGGCTGCGATTACTATTCTTGTTTCCAAGCATGACCGGAATAAACCACCAGCTACGGGCAATTTGTTTACGTAGAAGAGGGACACCGCATATTCTCCATCTTCTTCTTTCTGAGTTTCCACCCGCAGCACGGAGCAGAGCGTCATCAGTCATGATCAATGTTACCAGTATTCAGCCGTATGTCGCATCGTGGTTTACCCCTCAGTTGAAAGCATGTGGATGACAATTTCCACACCTCCAGCGGACTAACTAACTTTAAACGTGTTGAAGCAACAAATAACTAACGATTCCCATCCAGGTATCACGAGCATCCCCGCAGGAACAGTGGAGAAACAATCCTCCTGCCAAAAGACTTGTGTTATCCTGAGCCCGACACGTAGTCCAACACACTCAACATCACAGCTGCAGTGACGAAAAAATATCCAAAGATTGTAAAAGACCAACAAAATTCCAGATCAGTCTTCTCAGAGAAAGGTTCAAGACAATTCGTACTATCGTTAAAATTGAGCACTGTAACAGCCAAGCCTCGCGGTGCAGTTTGCAGATTTGCCTGGCTGAAAGATCGATCATTCTTGGGATCCACAGCCCATAAGTTTGGGCCAAAATTAGTTACGCGACATATGCTAATGTTGTTGAAAAGGAGAAACAGCAATAAAAATGAGCATGGTCATCCTATCTATCATCCTGTCTATCTTCCCATCGCATAGCCGCCAAGCATGGCTTACCTACTTGCATGTCTCGATGGTGACAGCTGTGCAACCCTGATATTTGCAATGGAAATAAAACTCTGCAGAATGATATAGTTCATCGTTATATTAACTGCGCGAGATCCTAATATTCTTGAATCAAAGCCAAATAATATGCCCTCAGTTTCGCGCACAGCAGACATCTTGGAGATACCTAAAAGGGGCGCGTTAGTATACCTGCCCAGCGTCTTGAAAACCGGGATGTCCCATTTTAGATACAACCAACTATTCAATAAGCTTAAAATAACTGCGTATGCACGAAACAAAATAAACAAATAAATAACACTAGCGCCGATTGGAAGAGAGTTCCCGGTTGTGGCTTGGCCGGTCCTTGAACAACAACAACAACAACAACAACAACAAGCATATCAGACACTCTCTGTCTCAGTAGTGACGTTGTTGCCTTCAACCTATAGAAACGGGAATACGGCATCAAATGTCTCTCTCTGGGAGATTATTACTCTTGATCGAACCAGTTATTAGCTAACTAGTTAGTTTCGATTCGTTAAACTACTAGTTAGTTAACTCACTAATTAACTAGTTAATTTTTCATTGTATTCTTCTCTGGTTAGTGGATCCCAAACTTCCCAAAGGCAGTTTAACTGGTTTATCGACTCAAAAACTCAATTAAGGGGAAATTTCGGCCCGCCGCCTTCCAGCTCGCTAAGTGATAAACTTACCAAGATTCCGGCTCTTGTTAAAGATCGTTGCATCCAAATCCCAAAGTTCAATGCAAGGATGAAATAATTTACCTGAGGCACTTTCTTCTCATGGGCCATGCATGGTCTTCTCGTTATGATTTCCGCTTGTCATTCAAGCAAGTGCCAAGTGCGGGAGACGCGGGCTTGTTTCCCCGTCAGAGAGTTCCAATTGAAATGAAATATTTTTTACCTTTTGCTTTTGATTCCATCTTTTGTCATCGTCTGCCATGGGGATTGATTTCTCTCTTCCTTGCTTTCTCGGTATCCTGTTGCCGTCGACAACTATCTAACTTATTTGCTAATTTGCCTGCCACCCCTGGCTGACGAAACCTCTTGGGTAGCTTTTTTTTTTTTTTTAAAAAAAAAAAAAAAAAAAAAAAAAATTATCTGTGGAATAACATCGAGCATGACGGGAAGTGACAGTGCAGATTCTTAAACCGCTATTTTAAACTTGACTGGAAGAACAAAAGAACATGCCATGCCTGCCGCCGGCTCGCAAATAATATTTGACACGGGAAGAGTGGAGCACAACATGAAACCTGAGATTAAGTACGGAGTATTCCGGGACAGGAATCTAGAAATCAAAAAAAAAAAAAGTCAGACATCTCTGCAGGATCCGCTGATTTGTGCCGCTTTTTCTTTTCGGTTTCTTATCTTCATGCGCGGGTGGATCGATGAAATGAGGACAATCGAGGAACCCATCAGTTGAAACAGGGAGAACCCCTCTCCCACTCGTTGATTTTGCCAGGCGTGTATTACAACTACCTGATTAACCAACAGTTTGCAAAATAATCACGCGCTTCCATCTAACTTGAACGAGGTGAGCGTGCAGGGAGGCGAAGCTGAGGAGAAAAGCTCTGAGGGATTGCTTGCCCCGTATGAGGGAATTTTGTCTGCCTGCCCAGCCCAAGAGCGATCTCCACGGCCATCCTGGATTACAGGACAATACGGCTGCACCGCTCTCCCTAGCGTGCAGTGGTGGTTGTAATGCACTTGGGCAGTACGGGGTACTGACAATTCGATTGGTAAGGGGCAGCTCTAGAGATCGACCCGCTAACATTGAGCACTGCACCCACTAAACTGCGCCTAACATTTGGTGAAAACCTTTACCTGGAAGTAATTGTAATATTTGAATAGTTAGTTTTCTGAGCAAGGTCACATTCCTTGCTTGCAGGATGAGCGCTTCAAGCGCCATTCTACTGGGAGCAACGCCGATTTATTTTAAACCAGATCACTTCAGTTTGAATCAACTTGCTATCACTAACTCTATCAATTGTCTGACAAGGACAGGGCGACACCTATGGTGTTATGGACCATTTAGACGAAAATTGGTGTTTTTGTCGCACATTCATTCTTCTACACTTCTACATACACCTTTGCTGATTATTCTGGCGGCAGGTGACAGCTTCTCCACTGAAAAATTTTGCTCAACTACTGTCTGGTTTTTATGGCAAAAAATTCGGATTCTGGACAACGGCAGAATCCATTCATTGGGCATGTGCTGCTATCTGCCCTTTTGAAGTTGGCTGGATGGGAATGATGATCTTACTTCATACATTGAACAAAAAGGTTCTTTGCTGGCCGCATGGTGCCAACTCACTCCCTAGGTTAGGTCCTCTGTCTGAAGTCGACAGGACATGAAAACCACAGACCTCCTCCCTGTTGCCATATCATCATCCTTGCATTTCCAATGCTTCTATGGAGAATTGCGCCCTATGGGCTGAGCGGCGAAAGCAAAAGCAAAATCCACCACGCGGCTAAAGTCCGTGTTGAAAGAGAAATGAAAATCCTTCCTTTTTTTTTCTTTTTTTTATTTTTTTTTTTTTATTCTCTCTTACTGTTATATTTGTTTCAGCCCATGATGTCATTTGGCAGAAACCTCCCACCAATCATCTCCGCTTCGACCTCCATCAGCAACGGACCACGAGATCAGGATCACCAAGTTCTTCCTTATTTCGCCGAGGCCTAAACATATCCTTGTCAATAGTATGCGGATGATTTAACCACGGAAAATTTTTTTGGCCCTAAAATCCGGTCTGGTGGTGCGAAAAATACTCTCTCTACTGTTCCTATCCGCTTCGATCCATCAAGCCCTTTTTCAACCCCGCAATTCGCGTATAAAAATCTCCCCCCAATGGATGGATGCATCATTTATTCCACATGATCCTTTTGTCCGTCTGAACAAAAAATAGCAGATATAACTATCCCGAGGAGCGTTGTGTCCCGCCCCTTGGTTGCGATGTCAACCAAGACGCAGGGATCATACCCGTTTCCCCTCATTGAGATGCCTGAGCACTCAGGAGTGTTCGATATACCGTTCAAGCTATCATATCATGTCTAGTTATTCGGCTAGATAAACCATTGCCTCGGATAGTCGACATTGATAATCATTTTGATTTAGACCATTTCTGCGCGCTTACATCGCAACGCCATGTGTGATGACCCTTTTTAAATCTTCTACTCCTCAACTTCATCAACGCGTGATATAGTCAACGAAGACAATATAGGTAGTATTTAATGTTTTGAAGTTGCAATCAAAGCCTCTACACACCCGGGTTGGGAAAAAAAAAATTATGGTATCTGTTGAGTTGTGTTGCTGCAGAGGTTCAAAGACCAGCACAGCAGGTCTTCAGAAAGGAGGCAAGCTCTATTACTATCCAATTCTTATAGATGCTGAAGAGAAGCATCTTCTACTTCATATGAATTACTTTGTCTATTAGGGGCCATCTATAACTTTAGAGATTTTTTTTTTTAAGAAATCTTACTACTGAGATCACTGAATCACAGTGGTAATTAACTATTGATTTTTGTAGTTGTACGTAAAGTGAAGAGGTAAATAATCAATCAACACTACAACGATTATTGCTGTAAATCTGTTAACTACCAGCAGGTGAGCATCTTTCGTGCCTGTGCCTGTTCCTGTGCCTGTCCACTCTGCCCGTTGCGGCATGGCCGTTGGCCGCTTCGGGGATTTCACGCCGCCCTGACGACGCCGCTCGATCTATATAAAAACCCGGCCTCGCTCCCTACGACGCTCTTCCTCCGCCCGTCCGAAGGCCCTGGCCCAGGCCTGGACAGTCAGAGGGCGGAGTGTGTTGCTTCACACCGGTTTCTAGGCTCCCGATGGTATTGTCCAACCGTCCGCTCGGCAACCCGGTGCGGCAGACTGGTTTTCACCATTGTTTCCGTTTTTCTTTCTTCCCTTGCAGGTTTTTGTTTTTGTTTTTTCTTTCTTTCTTTCTTTCTTTCATGATCTCTCTGCTCTCCCGCACTGGTTCCTGGGGCGTCCGGGTTTTCATGCGGGACTGGGCAACACCCAGCAATTGGAGGCTCTGAGCATATGGGCTGGCATGTAGTTAATAAACTGGAGAGAAATCATAAAATGTCATATAATTTAATAAATTAAACAGAGATAGAATTTGCTTAAATTTTTGTGACAAACTTTAAACTAATAAAAGTAACTGGGTATATTGATATTGAATATAAGTAGAGGATTAAAATAATATCCAGCTGAATGATATGATTCGTTCAGCGATTATGATATCAAGTCACTTCAGTTTCAATTAATATAGAATCAATCAAAAAGTTCTATCTAATTCAATGTAGAAAAGCGTAATCAAATGAAGTTTTTCATTATATATATTTTCAAAAGTTTTACTCTTCTGCGTTTGTCCTAACGGCATCTCACCAAATATGCTCAGGATTTTCAGCTGTGCAGAAAGCACATTTATCAGGATCATATTCTTGTCCAGATCTTTTTCAATAGAGCCATGTCCAGTTTCAACTGCCATAGGGGCAAATATCTTGAGCGAGTCACTAAGAAAGTCAAGTTGAAATAAGGAGCTCTTCACAGGTTATTTGCGTTGGAGTTGATCAGAGCAACGCTGGAACTGTCCGCCATAAGAGAGCCCCGCTCAAATTCTCCCCGCAACAGGAACCGCTCTCATCAACATAGTTTGTTATTCAACGGAGGGAGAGTAGGGTGTAGTCTGCTAGAGTCAATTAACAATATGATATGATATAATGACCGCTAACTGCAAGATATGGAATGCAATGCACTGCAACGCCAGTCGGGATTCGGCTTGAGAAGGGAGGCGGGGGAAACAGGGACAACCACAAAGTAAAATTAAATCCTCTTGCAAGGGATAGGTTATTCGCGCGGGGCGAAATACCGGGGAAGCTGGGATTATCCACGGTCTCTCTGGTTGTGAAGAAAACTATGTCTGAGGGGGTCGATCTGGGTTTAATGACCTAGAGCCCGTTGTGCCCGTGAGGAAAACAGGAATATTATCATCTTGTGGAGTTGGTTTTGTCAAGGCAACACACAACTCGAATTGGACCTGGTAACTGATAAGTTATTCCTCTCGCAAAACAACTTCATGATAAATCAATCCCATTGGCCAGCCACCTCAAAGCCGAATATTCGGTTCGTTGAGTGAGCTACGTTCAGAAATGTAGAAGATCTCCAAAAGAGAACTTGCTGCAGATGCAGATATCCTCCTCCGGCAGACTGCGAAAAATCTGCATCTCCTGTTCACACAAGACTCCACCGATCCGATATTTTCCATCGAACAACTGCACTTGATCTCTCTGATCTTATTTTGCCTCTTGGTTGCCCCCCTCAACCACCCCCTAAACACGGCCCCACAACACGGCCCCATCTCGATCTTTGTTAGATACTGTGAACCCAGGACAAGGGGAAGAAGCCTCTTCCTGCGGTGACCCCCTCACATTTCTTCTCTCTTTTTCCACATCTGCCATCCCTACAAAAATAACCTAAGCCGCACCGCAACCATGGGCCTTGGGATCCTGGAGGATTCCCGCCACGAGCACGTCCCAGGTGAACAAGATAAACTCCCGTCTAAACGTATATCCATAGCTACATAATGTACTAAACCCAATAATTTCCAGGAACCTCTTTTATCCTCGACGATGACAGCAGCACGTCAGAACAGCTCGGCCCCATCCCAACCCTCAAATACGACCGCTCAGGTCCCGTCCCCATCATCCTCGTCCCTCAACCCAGCGACGACCCAAATGACCCCTTGGTAAATTAAAAAAAAAAAAAAAAAAAAAAAAAAAAAAAATTCTCCCTCCTTCGCCAAATACCAATAACTACTAAATGACTGATGCAAAATGCAGAACTGGCCCCTCCACAAGCGCGACACTATCCTCGCAATCCTCTCCCTCGCCTCCGTCTTTTGCGCAACAACCAGCCCCCTGCTGGCTGCAAACACCGCAACCATCGCCATTGGCTTCAGAATTAGCTTCACAAAAGCAGCCCTACTGACGGGATATCATCTCTGTGGCGTGGGTGTGGCCGGTTTGCTCTTCGTCCCCTCTGCACGGGTATGGGGGAAACGCCATCTATACCTGCTAGGATGTGTGATTATGATAGTCAGCTCCGCGTGGGGAGGGGCTAGTCGCAGGTCCTATACGAGTCTGCTGTGGGCGAGGATTTTTCAGGGCATCGGGTTGGCGCCGTTTGAGGCGTTGGTTAATGCGAGCGTTGGGGACTTGTTTTATGTGCACGTATGCAAAATGTTCTTCCCTCTGATTGCTGTTTCTTTGAGTTGCATCTACATACAAAATATATATATATATATGTATATGTATATGTATACTAACGACACCAGGAACGCGGCAAACGCATGGCGCTGTCCAACGTAGCCCTATTCGGCGGCTGCTTCCTAACCCCCGTCATCGTCGGGAAACTCACCGCTTCACTGGGCTGGGAATGGTCGTTTTATCTCCTGGCCATCTTCTCTGGCGTCTGTTTGCCATTTCTCGTCTTTTTCGTGCCTGAAACGGCTTTCAGGAGACCTGACCACTTTAATACGGATATTGAGGGGGAGACTTCATGGACAAGAGTGCCTAAAGAGGCTCCTACGAGTGCTGCGGCAAATGCGCCCGCTCCTGAGACCGAGACTTCCCCTGACACAGCTGCTGTTGAAATACCCGAAGATCATGATGCGAGTTGTAAAGAAGCTGCCATTGGCCTGTCGACAACGACAATGTCAGCGACCCGACAGTCCGGGGACGAGTCTAAAGAGGAACATGAACAAGACCAACAGCTGGAGCAAGAACAAAATCGAGAACAAGAGGCCAAAGGTGATGACAGCACCAGCAATGGCTATGGTATTGCTGATGCTGAAAGAGCAACAGCAGCCCCCAATACCCCATCTAAGACCACATACTGGCAAACACTGAAACCCTTCAACGGCCGCAAGACAGACGAGAGTTATTGGAAACTCCTCCTTCGCCCAATACCCCTGTTCTTCCACCCAGGAATCCTATGGGTGAGTATTTATTTATTATATAACCTTATTCCCCACCACCTCCCATCCCCACTACATCCCCGCCCCTGCCCGACTCCACCCATCCCCAGGTTCCCAATCCATGTCCATTATTCCCACAACTAACCCCCTCCCAGGCCTGTCTAATCCAAGGCGTCCTAATCGGCTGGACAGTCTTCATCGGCGTCGTCCTCGCCGCAATCTTCCTTGGCCCCCCGCTCTGGTTCACAGAAGTCGAAACCGGCTACCTCTACACCGGCGCCTTCGTCGGCTCCATATGCGGCCTCCTCCTCTCCGGCCTCCTGTCGGACTGGAGCGCCAAACTGCTCATAAAGCTAAATAAGGGCGTGTACGAGCCTGAGTTTCGAATCGTGCTGGTCCTGTTCCAGCTTGTGTTTGGCTGCATTGGGCTTTATGGATTTGCGTTCGCCTCGTCGGATGTGGCGAAGTATGGATATGTGGTTCCAGATGTGTTTTTTGCGTTTATCATTGTGGGGATGGTCATGGGGGCTGTGGCAAGTGCGTTGTATGTTGTTGACGCGCATCGTATGTGTTTCACTTCTTCTTTTTTCTCATATTCGCCTTTTTCCACCCTTCCATGTGCACTTGCACGGTGCTTGTACGAGCATTGACTGACGCATGAATGCACAGGCCAAATCGCCGTCGAAGCCTTCACCTGCCTGCTCGTCTTCAAAAACATGTTCAGCTTCATCCTGACATACTTCGCCTACGACTGGGTTGTTCTCGCGAATCCGAGAACGGTTTTCCTCACCATAGGTAGTGTTCAGGTTTGCGTGTGTTTGTTGAGCATACCCATGTGTACGTTTTGTTTCATATTTTCATTCCCCCTTTATCTGTCCCTACGTATGTGGCCGCATTAAGCTAAATTATGCAAACAGACATCTTTGGCAAACGCAACCGCTCATACTTTCATCGACATGATATCCTCAAGATGCTAAATCTGTGGTGAAAAGTAACCTGTCATATCGAAATCCTTTCGCACTTCTTCAACCCTGGTTTCGCGGGCACCTATAGGAAAAATGGATCATCCCATCCTTCTCTCCCTCTTAATACCACTCACCACAACGACACAAATAATATCTACCTTCCGCCGCCTATTGGTATATCGAGATCTAAACCCCGCCAACTACATAACAACCCAATACTCCCTTGACGATATCTAATAAACAGAATCAACTTCCTGTCCTTTTGTCCTCCCTTCTGATTTCTTCGTTGTGTCCTCATTTCTTCTTCATCTTCCCCCCGCATTTACTTTGTTTTCTTCATGCGGAATACTTGTTTTATTTTATACCCCTGGGTATGATCGGATTGTTGTATTTAATTTTTAGCGGGTTTTTTGTGCAACTGTATTTCGGCTGTACTCTGTATGAATACGTCACATTTCGTTGTTTCTTTTTTACCCTTGATATCCAATGTCGGTTTCGTACTTTTGTTATCAATGTTTCGTTTGTTTTTCCCTTTGCCGTTATCTCTAATAAGCAATCCCTTTTTTTTCTATGTGAAAGTAGTAAAATGGATATTCATCCGGTTCATTATTTCTATTCACTTGCATTTATATGATCGGGATTTTTCAGAAAAGCGACTATCTTCATTCATACGCGGCCCTGTAAAACTGACGACAAGGCAAGTGTGAGAAAGGACAATATGAAAAACAGAATAGGATATACATAATATGTCGATAAGCTTGTGCAGATCAAAGAAATCCTCATATATACAGATATGGTCGATATGTGTTTTTTTTTTATATACAAAATATTCCTGGTACCCACAACAGTAGGCACCATTTGGGTGGCCATTATTTTCCCAACTCAGGCAGGATGGGAGCTCACTCCAAAACTCAACGAGCCGAATATTCCCCTGGGTCTGCGAGAAAATGCATGGATGCACCGAAGTGAAGTAGCAGATTTGCTATTCCTCCTTGTCCCGTCTCCAATGCCCTGGACAAGGCTTTAGAACCATTTTGGGCTACTCCATTAGGATCAACCCCCATTCCAAGCAACATCTTCACCAGTGGCACAAGACCTTTTTCTGAAGCATAACAAAGGACGTCCTGTTTTGGCATTTTCTTACATCCATACTGGCCTTTCTCAAGGAGAAGTTTCATTACCTCCACATGTCCGTTTCGTGTAGCATATGACAGAGGCGTGTATTCATCGTGGTCCTTGGAGCAATTGAGAGGGTTGATGCGGCTCTCAAGCAGGAGCTTCACAACGCTCACATGGCCCCTTTTCGCAGCCTTTGATACGGGTGCACGCCCATTACAATCTTTTCTATCGGGGTCTGCCCCCTTTTTAAGCAGCAATTCTACCACCTTCTCATGTCCATGAAAAGAAGCCCATGCCAGTGGTGTGCGGCCACCTTTATCTTTCTCATCGCAGTCAAAATCCCCTTCAAGCATTAGTTTTATAGACTTGTCATGCCCACTCATTGCAGCCCTCGATAAGGGTGGACGGCCATCGACATCCTTATGACAAGGGCGCGCACCTCTGTCAAGGAGAAGTTTCACGATAGCCTCCGGCTCCTTTCTTGAAGAAACAGCAATCGCTAGGGGCGTGCGACGAGATATATCCTCAGTCTGGATCAACATTCTTTTCAAGCAGCAGTTTCATAATTGCCTCCTGCCCCTTTACCAAAGCAGCAGCATATGATAGTGGGGTGGAAAAGTTCTGATCTCTTTGGTCAGGATCCGCGCCGTGTTTAAGCAGTATCTTCACTACCGCCTCATGTCCCATCACCGCAGCCCAGGTTAGGGTTGTTTTGCCAGAAAGGTCCTTAACATCCACGTTAGCGCCATATGCCAGAAGAACTTCCACTACCGCATAATGCCCATTTTTGGCACTCTCTGCGAGCGGTGTGAGCGACGCTTGCGGATTCGCTCCTTTGAATTCCACATCGTTGGGCCGTGCTCGAATTAGCATCGACACAATATCCTCAAATCCGTTGCTGGCAGCTAACCAGAGCAGTGTGTGTCCAGACGCTGATGGGATGGCTAGTTTCGATCCCTTTCGGAATGAAATTATCTCCACGATACCGATATGGCCTTTGGTAGCAGCGTAATGTAGGGCAGTATTCCCCTCTGCATCTAGCGTGTTTACGTTACAAACTTCCAATAGCAATTTAACAATTGCATAATAACCAAGATTCGATGCAAGGTGGAGCGCAGGAAGCTTTTCGTTAATTCGTGGCAGATCGCAGATAGCCTCCAAATCCTCTTTCGATTTTAGAGCGATTAATAAAAGAGGTTTCGTGCTGTTCTTTGACCGCCCACCCCAAGAGGCCATGTAGACGGGACCGTGATGAACGGCCACCTGATATCCAAGAGTGGAAGTTCCAGGTTTCACTAGAATTTGTTGCAAATTGCTCAAAGTTTTCCCAGGAATATGATTTGGTGGTTAAGCGTGTCATGTGTTTGGTTTGGATGGCCCAATTAGCAATGGCATAATCGAGGAGTTTATATTTCGTCCGATCAGCCGCCGTGACTGGGTATGTCTTTGGGATGCGCAGAGAAACAGAGGGTTTTTGACGCCGCGGCGCTCAGAGGAAAGGCTTGATGAACGAGGAACCGAGAACTCCATCGATGAAAGACGCCGGGGAAGGAACCGTGACCTTTACAGTTCCGTTCTTGCACTTGTCTAGCTGGAGGGCGAAGTCGGAGAATGAAAGATAAAGTCACACAATATTCTCCACATTCCACCTCCCCTAGTTTTGCAGTGACAGGGTATCCTTCGATGAAACGCCCTCGATCGCTTTCTAAATATGGTTTTACTGAGGGATGCGCAAAGCGTACGCGGCCATCAATCGGATCAACTACCACGAGATTTGCACAACACCCAGCAATGAAGTCCCGCTGCGGTATTTTCTCTGGATCCCAGTTAGTGTCCGACGAAGGAAACGCCACTGTTTCCCTCAGTTTCTCAACACTGAGTGGCCTGGTTGCAAAGCTGACCCATTTAAGCACTCTTAGTGCGATGTCGTCCTGGGTGGCTATTCTCTCAGCACAACGATGATATGTCTCTTTCAAGTCCTTTGGAAGTTGCTTCAATGCCAATCGTATTTGAGCTTCTGTAAAACAGGTTTCCCATACAATCTCCAGCTGGAGATAAACCCAGAGGAACCTATTACAGTACAGATTAGTGTATCCACATGTAGAAGACGCAGAGAAAGTTGGGTGCCAGGATCATACATTCCCGAGGACTCTTTTAACAGGACTTCTTTAATCCCATCTATCAATGAAGGATCGTCTGTAAGTTTTTTGAACATCGTCTTGTCAGCGATAGTCGTTTCGATATATGTCTGAATATCTTGCATAACATTGGAAGATGTCGATATCTGACGAATTCCGGGAATTAGTGTAGAGATGTTCGTGAACCCTGGGATTTGCTCCCTGCTTAGCAGCATGCATTTAGAACCATGCCGCGTACAGGACTCGGAGGACAATGATCGAAGAAACTTCAAAATCCTTACGCAATTTGTCTCGTCAAGCGCATAAAATCCATCTAAGATATACGTTGTATCATGGGCATATTGAAATAGGTGAATAAAAATACTTTCCAGATCGTTAAAGTCAGGCACAGTTCGCTTCTTCCCAAAGAACCTGTTGATATCTTGAACGATATTTTTTGGCAAGGGTCGGGACGTAGAACGGAGGTGCTCGCACAGCTGTTTGATAAAACTAGACACAATGTATGATGCCTGCAATGACTCCTGGTGCTCATTCTCGCAATAGAAGAAGACTGTTGTAGAGCGGGGACCAGAAGAACGATATTTCATATTTTCTATCACAGAAGTTCTATTCCCTGTCAGTACTTTCCAGAAGAGATATATAGACATTCAAGAACTTACGCTATCACGGTTTTGCCAGAGCCAACTAAACGAACGATTACATATCAGTATTGAAATTAAGTATGGGCGCGAACAAACATGATCTTACTCCTCTCAGAGCACCATAGACTGGAGACAGTGTTCCCAGTAGACCACTTTTTGAAATCCGGGTGGTCTAAGAACCATACAATGGTGCCTAGAAGTCTTTTATGACAAAGCCTTCGATGAACTCTATTGTGATCGTAATCCGAGTGTCGGTCGAAGAGCCAATCGTCAAGTTGGTCCCCTGCAACATGTCAGTTCCCGCTTTTTGGGTGCAATATATCTACAGAAGGTCCTCGCACGTTCTTGGCGAACTGGTAGGCTCTGTGACCATTTCATATCGCGAAGGTCCTTGTTCTTGTAGTGATAGACTAGCAATCGTCCTTCGTCAGCCTACATAATTTATCATGATTCCTGTTTGAAGACGGGAAACTTACTATCATTTGATGAACCGACTGTTGGTTCATCCACGACCTGGACAGCGTGGATGACGGAGAGGAGTTCTTTGGCGTATGCTGCCGCTATCGCTGCGGCATATTCTTGCCATTTCTTGTTTTATGGGAATCTGAATAGTCGCAAATTCCTCGAATCACTAGGCATGGAATTACATCCATTAGACCTGCTGCCTCCATTTCAAAACAGAGAACGCCTCTCTTAGCTAATTTGTCTCTTGTCCGTCCATGCTTCATCACCTGGTTACCAGACGCAATGAGGCCATAATGGATAACGGGGATCTGTCCATCTCGGGGAATGCGTTTCACTAATCTGCTGGAGTCACAGTCGTGGCAGGTATTTAGAGCCTCGCAGTGTTCATAGTCGGATTCAAACAAAAGGTCCGCCACGTTCTCACCGGGATGCTCCAAGATGTGACTCAAAAAAGGATTGCTATCAGCAATTTCAGAAAGGATGGTCGGTATTTGACTTGGTTTCAATTTATGAGCAGCTTGCAGTCGAGCGACAGCCGTCAAAAGCACTGGTGGAGGCTTATTCAATAATCCCAAACGTTCAAACCGTCCGTCTTGGATTGTCTTGCCGTAGTCATATTGTATCACCCCTCCAAATTCCCTTGTAGGTTTGCTAACCACTATATCGCCCAGTCGAATATCGAATCCCTTGCAGGGCACTCCTTCTCCTATGCCAACCATCAGGCCAAAGCATATTGCCCCGAAACTAGACCTCATTTGAGTAACCAAGGCCGTTGCTGCGGTCGTGCCATAGATACCTGATGGGAGGCAAAGGATTACGACATTACGAGGGCATATTCTCCCCAGAATATAGGTGTTGTCATCATTTTGGCTAGTTGGTAGGTCAGGATGTCTCTCATCCAGCATCAACTCGGCACCGGCGAGTTCCAGAGGGAGCGCACATATCCATGCGATCGTATAATCCAGATGACTCAAATTGTTTGCTGCCGGTGTCATGGAATGTTGTCAATAGCTGTAATAAATTTGGCAATAGATATGATGAAATACGATTGCTGTAGTACGTCGTCCGGTTAGCTTCGAGTAGTAGATAGCACTTGAGGCACTGCATAGGCCTTGGCCTTAGGCTCCCCCGGCGGTTTGCAAAACGGCGAGGCGTTGTCGAACAACTTGCGCCATGCTCTGATTAGCCAGTGAAGGCTCGTTTCGTCTCCGCATTTGACAGTGATTAAATCGAACCAATGAGGATGCTGGCGTCGTCCATTAACTAATTAACCAGTGAGGCGCCCCTGCTGAACCACCCTGCTTGGTTCTTACAAGTTACACCACAACCGTTCTTTGAATTAGTACAATGGATGTCGACGAGCAGATTGTCGTTAAGGCTAGATTTATTGGTTCTCACCATGGATTTGGCTGGTTGAGATAAAAGCAGGAACCATTGGCCGATATACCTGATTCTCCAGGGCGGAACATCGGAGGTCGCCCGAACGTGTTGCTTGCAAATGATGGAGATGAAAATGGGACTTTCATCGCGACGTCCACACCTTTATGCAATATCGGACATGGAGGCTTACATATGTCGACTACGAAACTTGGTGCTGGCCTCAAAGTAGGGTATTGCCTCCAACGCAAAAGGACGTATCAGGAATCAAGTAACAGGTTCTAGAAATGGTTATTGGATGTGGGTCGTCGAAACGCAAATTAGGCATCCTTCGTCATTTTTGTCATTTTCGTCCTAACGTATCTAATCAGGGTGAGGTTTTCTTCGATTTGACAAGTCAAGGTTATATTGTGATCTCCGAGAATGAGAGAAATCAGTTCTCACAACGCATACAAAAGAGATACTGTCTGTGTTGGTATTTGCTGCATATCTGTGGCGCAGTCTTTCCCTTTTCCACCATGTCCTCGATCCTCTGGCTGTTGCATGGCAGTTTGTATCGGCCGCGGGTTTCTGCATGTCAACTAGTTTTCCGTTACATTAAACCTCTAGAACCGTCCTGTGTCGAGATGGATTGCCCACCAGGAGTGTGCTGACGGCAGTATACTCGATGAGGTGATGCCTTTGACGTTCGCACCGGTTCGGGAGCACGGCAATTTTTAACCTATTTCCAGCTTTGAGGGGAAGACGGTGTTGGCAAGGCTTGTCTTATAGTCCTTGCCCCCTTGCGGTCGACTGGACCCCAGTTCTGTTGTTTACAGGTTTTGATGTCTTGCAGAGACCCGGTTTTCGACTGGCATGCCTCGACTGCTTGAATGACTGCTCCCCGTCAATTATGTCGCTGTTCCGACGTGTACGACTTCCACCTTCTTAGGAGTTAGCGGGGACGTCAGTGCAATCAGGCTTTAGTCTGCTACTTCAAACAACTCCATCGGAATGGTTTTACAATCGTGTTGTTGGATAGCTTCAACTCCTGTTCACTGAAGGCCCAGCAACTCATTTATAAAATTGCACCGTCTTCTGACTGCATCGCACTCCTTCACTGCCCTGTCCAGTTGGGATTCTGCCTCCAGCAGCCTTTGTTGTTGCAACCAAGCAGGCCAATAATGAACCTCCAGGCAATGCTTGCCAGGAGAAACATGGGGCTTGCCAACTGCCATTGGTGGATGTCTCCTCATAAGGCTGCGGCATTTGTCCCTCGCCTGTGTTGTCTGCTGTCCCACCCGACTCTCTTGTTTTACTGTGAAATGAGTCCGTGTCTTTACGATGGCAAACGCGAACATGATCGTTGCTTATATCCATATATAGATGGTGACACAGCCTCCAGGAGGGAGAAGAATACATGGATTCTTGGCGAGAATGAAGTGCCAGATAGCAAGATTGGAGAGATCGTAACTTAAATTCCATGAAAGTCTCGAATTTTAGATCGCTGTCCCTAAGAACAAGGACATCTGGATCAATACGTAAAGGATGTCAAGGCAATTTCTCACGGGAACAGCTGGAAATGGCGGGTTACCTTTTGGCCGACTTGGCATGGATATAATACAGGGTCAACAGCTGTCCACATCACATCAGAACACACAGCCCTAAACCAGGACGCATTCTACTGAAGCAAAGAACGCTGGGTAAGGGTGCTTTTTTTTTCAGTTGTGACTCACTTCTGAGATGTTCGCAGTGACGATGCTTGGTATGCTTGTAAGAGGCCCTTGACAAACATTTCAACAGAATGATGTGGGAAAAGGAAATTGAGATGATGAATCAAATCCAGCATGTAAATAGATCCCAGTCACCATAGATTCTTCTTTAACGCTTTGCCAGGGCCATATTGTTCAGTTTTGTGACTGGGATGGATGGCCTTCACCAAATTTACACCTGCGGATTTGATGGATTTGAGCTGAGCTAGCGACGTGTGGTAGCAGAGCTTAGTTGAGTGGCGCATCATGGGTGTCAGCGGATGCTGCGGCGACCCTAATCATGTGCCTCCCTAATATAGTTACTATATACATCTATAAAATTTAGATCTCGGCTAGCTAGTTTTACAGACAACAACGTTATCCTCCAAGACTCTCTTCCTGGTTATCTATAATCGTGCCAGGGTGATTATGAACCTGGCTCACCAGTCAATGCAGGCCTGGCGCGAAAGAAGCCATTGACGAGAATCCAGATCTTTGCATGACTATAGGCATGCAGCCTTGGTTCGGGAGCGCGCTGCTGATGTTCCAAGGCCCAACCAACTCTGGGTCCGCCGTTGAAATAAGGTTTTAGAGTTCCCGCTTAGCGCTTGGTGTCGGTTTCCGGAAAATAATTGTCCCGGAAAACCAATCCAACTAGCCTCCTGGGAAATTTCATGCCGCCCCAGATGCTTCATATCAAATCTTCAGTCTTCCAACCGCATCCTCAATCAAGAAAATTCCCATTCCCCACACTCTCAAAGGGCGAGCCACCCCGCTGCGCAAAGACCTCCTGGCCGTGAACCCTTCAACAAACAAACCATTCCATATATCCTTGTTCCTCTTTGGCCCAGGACACCAGCCGTCATGTCTGACCAGACCAGTGCAGGTATGCGATCCAGCTCCAACATCACCTCTTTCAGATGCAACCGTGTTCCGGGACATTCTATACTGACAGATATTTCAAATTTCTAGCATGGCCACTTGCGGACCAAGCCATGACCCAGACAATCCTGGATCTCGTCCAGCAAGCCTCCCACTATCGCCAGCTTAAAAAAGGCGCCAACGAGGCCACCAAGACGCTCAACCGCGGCACCTCCGAAATTGTCATTCTTGCTGCTGGTAAGATAGGCTTGACCATCCATCGCCCATGCTGGAAGTCTCCGTTTCCGCTTTAGAAGAAGTCCTAACCAACCATTTCTGTTGTTCTTGTAGACACCACTCCTCTCGCGATTCTCCTCCACCTTCCCCTGCTTGCTGAGGATAAGAACGTGCCATACGTGTATGTGCCCAGCAAGATGGCTCTTGGACGTGCGTGCGGAGTCAGTCGTTCCGTCATCGCCGCTAGCATCACGACCAATGAAGCCAGCGATTTGAATGCGCAGATTCAGACTCTGAAAAATAACGTCGAGAGATTGATGATTTAGATTCTGTGCCTGGATCTGGACCTTCCGATTTCAAAAGCAGGAGAGCTGATGGAACTGGCAGCGATGCGGGATATATGGTCTGCCCTTCTTGTGGTTATTTTAGACTCGCAGTGGAAGGGAAAATACCGTTCATTTACGGTTGTTATGTATCTTGTCAACAAAGAACTTACTGGGCAAAATTCTTGAATAGAAGGATTTTTAAAATCGAAAACACCAGTATAATTGTTCAAATATTAACTTTTTACTTTCTTTTGGTCCTCTCAGATATGAAGAAATGGGGATATCTTGAATTATGATTATCCTTCCTGTTATCCCCATCGTTGCCTTCAGGATAACTTCAATAGAGATCCATGGGTTGATACCGTCAGCCTCTGCGTAGCTCACTCAGCAAATCACGTCGCATTTCCATTACACGTAGTGACTTTATTTTTTCGCACTCTGCCTATCTAATGTGTCTAATGTAATATAAGCAAATAGAAAGCAGCAATGAGAAGTCAGGAAATATGCATCATTTGAAGGACGAAAGTAGTGGGAAAGTAGGAAAAGTAGAAATGATAAAGCAGCTACACACAAGAACAAGAAAAAAGATGAGAACAACAAAAACCATCAGAAGAGTACAATACAGGAAGACTCCCCACCCCTAAAAAAACCATGGATGCTGTATTTACAGAATTGGTCTCCCCAACCCTCATCCGCCTCCTTAATTCTTTTCTGTCTTTTGATTTTTGCTGGTCTATTCATCAACTAAACAATTAGGAAACAACAGATATTAAGATATTGATGCCACAATAAACCGCCCAATCCAACCAACCAAAAACCTAACAGTGCATGAGCCGGTGTGCAGGTATATCCTCTTATTTATTTCTTTATTAATTTCCCTGTTGTCCTCATGCTTTGAGATTAATGACAAAACAACCATCACCAAACGTAAAAGCATACACTAGATAATCGGCGCCATCCGATTGCCTCACCTCATGTCAGCTTCTCACAAGGCTTTCACCTTCGCCACTCCATTCTGATACTGCCCTGCCGGCGCTGGCGATGACGGCGAAGCCGCATCAACCCTAGCCCTCTTCTCAACCAACCTTCTCTCCAAAAACTTTAACGCTTCATCAATAATAATAACCGGAGCCGAAATAGTCAACACGGCAATCCACTCCTGCCTATCAAGCGGCAGAATCGAAAATAATCCTTGCAAAAATGGCACGTAGAGGATCGCAAAATGCAACACCATGGACAGTATGACGGCGTAGACGAGCATCATGTTATTCCAAAGTGAGAAGGTGAGGAGGGATTCGGAGGAAGAGAGTGAGTTCATGGCGTTGAGCATTTCGATGACGACGAGGATGGAGAGGGAGATTGTCGAGGCGGACTTGGACATGTCGTTTGTGAACATTTCACAACCGATGGAGGGGAATTGGGTAGCGCATTTGTGGAAGTGTGTCTGTTTTGTTTCATCTGTCAGATAAAAACGAAAAGTTCATAACAGGGGTTAAAAGGGAATTGAACTCACCAGCTGCCAGAACGAAATCTGGGGCCCTGCAGGATTAAACATAAACCACCACGCATACCCGAACACAGTCGCAACTCCTACATAAATGCCGATAACCATATATCTGAAAAACAGCCAGCCACCCACGAGCGCCTCACCCTTCCTCCTGGGCGGTCTCTTCATCACATCACCATCAGGCGGGTTAAACGACAACGCCGTCGCCGGCAGCCCATCCGTAACAAGATTAACCCACAACAGCTGCACGGGGATCAACGCCTCCGGCATCCCCAGTGCGGCAGTGAGGAAAATCGACACCACCTCACCAATATTCGAGGAGATGAGGTAGCGAATGAACTGCTGCGTGTTGCTGTAGATGGTCCTTCCTTCCTCAACTGCAATCTCAATGGTGGCAAAGTTATCATCAGCTAGAACCATATCGGCGGCTAGCTTGGCGACATCTGTGCCAGAACCCATGGCGATGCCAATGTCCGCTTTCTTCAGGGCCGGCGCATCATTGACTCCATCGCCCGTCATGGCAACCACGTGACCCTGCGACTGTAATATGTCGACCAGCTTAGATTTATGCGTTGGTTCAGTACGAGAGAAGAGCGAGGCGGTTGTAGCGGCTCTAATCTTGTCCTTTTCGCTTAGGGCATCGAATTCCCTGCCCGTGAACGACTTTCCGCGAAGGTCCTTTTCATCGGGGCTGAAAATGCCGATTTGGCGACAGATGGATTCAGCAGTGCTTTTGTTGTCGCCTGTTATGACGACGACGCGAATGCCAGCTTCACGACATTTTCGGATGGAGGCGGCGACTTCGGGCCGGGGAGGGTCGAGCATGCCCACAAGGCCGATTAGGGTCATGTTTTGTTCCAATTGGGCGTATTCTTGGGATGTTTCAGCGGCGTGGAGGAGGGGGTTTGGAGCGATATTTGTCGATGGAGGCAACGGCGATGACACGCAGGCCTCTGTTGCTGTAGTCCACGACTTCCTGAGAGATAGCTGGGTGTGTGCTCGTCAAAGCGACTCTGGTCCGTTGGGACAAGGAGGGCGTGGAGCAACGTTCCAGGATCGATTCAGGGGCACCCTTTACGAGGAGCTTTTGTTGGTTACCCTCGCCAGCCAAGACAGACATGCTCTTGCGATCTCTGGAGAATTCGTATGAGGCTTGTAAGGGTAGGCGATGTTCGTAGTGTTTGCTGGCCATGTGAAGTCTCTCTGATGCAGGTTGTTGTCTGATCTTCTTATTCAGTTCTGGGTCATCGGTTCCGATCTTCTCAACTAGCACGCGAAGAGCACCTTCAGTTGGCTCACCGATGCTAGAATATGCGCCTGTCTTTTGATCGTAGGATAACAAGGCCTCATTACAGAGAGCCAGAACCTCAGTTATCTGAAGTATGGTAGACGATGAAACGGCCAAATCTTCCACCTGGCGACCATTTTTCTTCAAACTACCCTTGGGCGCGAAGGTGGTTCCTTCAACATTTATCTCCTCCAGACCATCCCCTGCTTCATTGAGATACACAATCTTCTCCACACTCATCTGATTTGTTGTCAGTGTTCCCGTCTTATCGGAGCAGATGACACTACAACTCCCCAGCGTCTCCACAGACGGCAACAATCTAACCACCGCATTCTTAGCAGCCATCTTCCTCGTCCCCAGCGCCAAACACGTCGTAATAACAACAGCCAATCCCTCCGGAATCGCCGCGACACCCAGAGAAACTGCGATCTTCAAATAATAAATCGCCCCCTTCGTCCAACTGCCATGTACGGGGTCATTAAAATGCTCCACATTAATCAGCCAAACAAGCACACAAATCACCGTAATGACCTTGGCCAACATATCCCCAAAGTCATTCAGCTTCTTCTTAAGCGGCGTGGGTTCCGAAATCTGCGCCGAGATGCTCTCGTGGATGTCTCCAATCGCTGTCGCGGCACCAGTCAGGACAACCATCGCATGCGCATGGCCCGTCACAACCGTTGTGCCAGAGAAGAGCATATTGATTTGATCCTGCTTGACAGCCTCAGCATCCTTGACAGGCTTCGTGCTCTTGGATACACTCTGACTCTCACCGGTCAGGATGGCCTGGTCGACGCGGAAGCTGTTGGATTGGATAGAAAGCAGACGGCAATCGGCAGGGATGCGATCGCCAACGGCGACACTGACGATATCACCAGGTACCAGCTCCTCCGCCCTAATGCGTTGCAAGTGTCCGTCACGAAGGACCTTAGCTTCATTCGCGGAGTATTCTTGTAGTGCAGCGATGGCCTTTTCCGCGCTGGTTTCTTGCGACACTGCGACGATGGAGTTGAGGATTAGGATAGTGAGTATCTATATGAAAGCATTGTCAGATACGTGCAGAAAAGTAGAAGAGCATAGATGGAGAAGGGGAGAGTTATCACTTACAACAACTGGGTCGACAAACGCCGTCCAATCATCTCCACCTTCCATTAGAGCCAGTACAAAAGACACAACCGCAGACCCCAGAAGAATCAGCACAAGTTGATCTTTAAACTGCTCAAGTACGAGTTCCCATAGCGGCGTCGGGGGCTCCTCCGGAAGGGCTGCAGAAAGTATATTAGCAATCACAAATTACACATCATCGCTAATGGGCAAAGAGATAAAATGGACATACCGTTACTTCCATACACCTCCCTCGCCCTCAGCACCTGCTCGCTAGACAACCCCGCCTCCTCCGTCACGGAGAAATGTGCCAGGACATCTTCCGACGAAAAGAGATACGAGCGCTCCATGAGCGTTTTTTGTCTGTATTTTCCTTCGACTCTTACCCCGTTTCAATGCCCTTTTTGTCTTTTCCTTCCTTCTCTCTTCTTTGTAATCTGTCTTTGTCTTGTCGTCCTTTTCTCACGTTCTATAGGTTAAGGTCAAGCGCTCTCTTTAGTATTTCAATCTTAATCGTTATAGTAGATATGAACGAATGGGTGGGCACTGTATATCTGTCCGCTTTTGCTTTTTAACGTTTGCGCCACCGCCGAACGAACGAGCGACCGAGCGACCAAGCTAACTGCGCAAGTTGGGAAGTAGTCGTAGATAACTGGATATATAAGCTAAAGGAGGGTAAAAGCGTAGGTATCGCCAATGCGAAGGTCGAGTTCGGTATCCCCAGCAAGTCGTCTGGAGAAAAGAGAGTGCGCAGTTGGAAGTCTGTCCAAGAAAAAAAAAAAAAAAAAACAATAAAACGACAGAGAAGAATAATGCGGAGGAGCACGGAGTGGCGCGAAGTTAAATAAAAAGAAATATATGCCACCCTGGTAACATCTACATCCGTATCCCCGTTATTGACGAACAGTTTCTTCTTCCTTTTTATTTATCTTCTCTCCCCTTCTCGTTCCTTTCTCCTCCTGCTATTGCCGTTCCAGCTAGCTCGGGTTTCAGCAGTGTACAGTATGTGGTAGTAGTGGAAAAGATCCGCGAGTTCGCACAGTCAAAAACCACAACAAGTACCGATGCTGGGAACCTGCAGCAGCTTCAATGCTTCGATAAGCAATAGTTTACCTCAAATTCCCTCCTAACAACTCAATGCCAATTCCACTCCAGGTTGCCGTATTGCAAACATATATCTCAAACCATCTCTGTTTGATATCCGTTAACTGCTAAGAATCGAAGCAGGAGGTTGGATATAACTTTGTTATTATGTCATAGCTTACTAAACCGTCAACCGTAAACGTGGTCTTTTCATAGGGTGTAATTTTCGGAAGTTACCGCGCTTCTAGAACATTTTGGAAGAGGGAAGTATCATACCCGACACGTACGGTATCGTATCGTAGAAAATTCACCCAATCACAGCGCATTGTGTCGCAGCCTACCACCACGTGACGTTTCTCTGTTTCTTAGAAGGACTTGGGTATTTGATACGGGTTGGTGCTACTATCTCGTATCCATATTTAACCTACGATCAAAACCGACCACTTTGGAATATAAAATGTTATTTTTAGAAAGGAGCAAAATGAAATATTAATATAGTATATAGTACCTGGTATCTGATAATAGCACACCAAATTTCTTCCATCCCTCCATTCCGAAGCCCCTTTCACCCAGAGCACATACAGGACTATATGTTGATATATATAGCTGATCAATTTGATATGAATGTACTCCATACCAGCCTCTTCGTCACTCGACATCTTCCTCCTCTCACTTCATCTCCGCTTCCCTCTCCTCTCTTACTTCCTTCTCGTCAAGAGAAAAATAGTTGAAAAAGGAGAAGAAAACCTAATTGCATCAACACAAGTCAACTCAGCCTTCTTCCGCTGAACAAGCAGGACATATCAGCATATCAACAGCCGGAATTTAAAACGGACAGCTGGACAAATTCCAATAATGCGAATGGATAAGAAGCACTAGAATTATAACTGGAACTAGAAACACAGCATATGCATATGCATATATTCCCCCCAGGCCGTCCTTCCATCTACAGGCCAGCAATCAAGTATAAAACTACTCTAAACTAAAAATCAGGTAATAATTGATATCGAGCATTATTATCATTGATCATCGATAACAGACGCAACTAAAAACCTATGTAGGGTTTTAAGGGGAAATACTGGGGAGTGTAAAACCGTATGTAACTGCCAGCATGGTTGGGAATGTGGACAACGGGAATAGTTGGAACAAATGAGAGGTGTTTTAATAGCAGGCACAATGGGTAGACGTAGCTGCACAGGGAGGCGAGCAGGGGAAGGGTTGAACAAGAACAGGGAAACCATTGTAGCAGAAATGAAATAAGATATAAAAACCTGAGGAGGGATGGAACACATATGGGGGAATGGCATGGCTTTGGGGGGGATTGGAATGGGAAACACGAATGGTGATAAGAAAAGAACAGGGAGGAGAGGGGCGGGTTAAGTGTTAAGGGAGACTCAAAATGAGCAGAGGACAAGTCGCTAGAAACGGAGGCAAGAGAGCAGGAAAGCAAAGCAAATAGTCAGGGTAAAAGGGTGATGTTATTGTCATAAAAGAACAAAAAGGAGTCGCAAAACTTGGAAAGACGGCTATCTTTTCCCTTTCTCTTTCTCTTTCCATCCCGCTTCTCTGGAACTTTGGACATTTGAGTGTTAGAATTTCCTTGATAGGGACCACCAATCAACACACATTTAATCAGTGAAAGAAATAAACTGGGGGGAGACTGGAAGAAAAGAAAGAAAAGAAATAATATCTCCGCCACCCGTTCATTCTCATCGCTCTTGCAAATAAATAATTTAAGAAAAAAATAATCGCAAAACTCCATCCACCCCTCTGGTGTCTGGTGTCTTGTACCAATTGAAAAAAACCCTTATTTGAGTGAAAAGCTCAAAGACACACGCCTTGGGAGAGAAGGCATTCCGCTGAGAAACCCAAGCCCGCACGCCAAATAACAACATCAGATTCCCATTTTCAAATCGACCTTGTTCTGCCCGCTCTGCTTTCTTTCCGCTTTTCCCGTCCCCATTTGATGTGAAAAAATAAAACA